GCCTGAGTTCTCCTCCCCGCAATCACCCGCTTGCCGTTGTCTTCTGCAGGACGTCTATGCCTACACACAAGTTGGAGTTCCAGACTGTAGAATATTCACCGTGAACCCCAAGGGTGAATTAATACAAGAAAGAACCAAAGGAAACAAGTCATCGTAAGTACATTCTCAGCTCTCAGCCCAGCGCCCTGCAGCCAGGGGTACAGCTGGGGACAGACAGACCCTGTCCCTTTCCCCCCGATCGATCCTTGAGATCAGGCCCCAATCAAAGGATCACTACATCTCTGTGGGTATCTCTCTTTCACAATAACCATTCGAGGGGTCCCTGTTCTCCTAGACTTGTAAGAGGGAGTTTGAGCCCTGAGATGGGACTGGGGCCTGCCTCTGAACCTGCCCGTCTGAGCGATCTGAGTGACAGCTTCACAGCCCCCCGTCTTGCGCCTTTGACCGATCTTGAAGTGATAGCCTGTGCCTCTTCCCCAACCCTTCTCTTAGGTATCACAGGCTGAGTGAGCTCGTGGAGCACGTGTTCCCCCTTCTCAGTAAGGAGCAGAATTCTGCTTTTCCCTGTCCGGAGTTCAGCTCCTTCTGCTACTGGCGAGACCCGATCCCTGAAGTGGACCTGGATGACCTGTCCTGAGGCGGCACCTCAGTGGGTGGGCAGGGCTCGGTCCCCCTCCCCACAGCAAGGGAAGGCAGCTGGCTCTTCTGCTGACCTCGGATACCAGCCTTCCCCAGCGGGGACAGGCGCTCCTGGAGCTGGTCCCACCACCCTCCTTTGCCTTCCCAGGCTGGCTGCTGAGGCTCGGCAGGTCTGCAGCTCAGCAACTGGAAGGAGAAGGGAGGAACTGGGCTGGGGCTGGAGGCCTGGGATCCCTCCTCCGTGGGTTGCTACACGTTTCCTGCTGTGAGCTAGGGGCTACTTCCATTGCATCATTTTAAAGGAAGAGAAAAGCAGCTAAAAAAGAGTGGACCAAACCACTGCACACAGGGCAGTGTTACAGTTTCCACTGGGCAGTTGAGGTGGCTTCTCTAACTGGGGCTGTCAGGGTCCCTGAACTGCTGCAGGCTCAGTCAGTGATGCTGGCTGAAGCTGCCTGTGCACGTTTCTTCTCCGGGCGCCTCATTTCCTGCCACACTGAAGAAGTCAGCTGCTCCAGTGGGCCAAGTTGGGCAGGACCCCCACCCCCCATAGGGCCCATGCACCAGAGCCACTGAGCCCAGTCCCATAAACCTGGCCCTCTTTGGCGAAAGATCCCCACAGAGCATCCTCCTCTCATCTGTGATGACTCCACGAGCCCTTTCATTTCTTAGACCTCACCAGAAGAAGAACAGGTCTCACAGGTATATATTTGATGTCTGTAATAACAGTGGGAAGGTGGGTCTTAAGGAAAACCAAACTCCCCCCCCCGCAAACAACTCTGCTTTTAGGAGACCTCAGAAATGCGGATAGGCAGTTGAGTGGGTCCTGGAAAGAGCGCTGGATCCCTCTGCTTGCTGCCTGGTGCGGGCCTTTGGAAAATGTCTTGCTTTGGGACAGGACTTCTAAAATTCCGTGATTCAGATTTGTCAGGGAAGCACAGTGAAGCTGCTTAAAGGCACTGGCTAGCAGTGTGTGACTTTGGCTTTTGGAATCACACCCTGTAATCGGGCCCGTGAAAACCGTGTCAAAGAGGGATCTTGGAGCTCCTATGGAGCAGACTGACCCCGAGCAGTGTCCCCAGCCCAGCCCTGAGAGACCCCATGGGGACACGGGTGCCTGTGTATTTTCACTAAAATATCCATGGTAGCTCCATTTACTGATGCGGTTGTAATGAGCTCACATCACATCTGAAGAGATGGCACCAGGGAAAGGTGTGCCATAAGCTGCTCTAGAGCTTTTGGTATGCTGAGTGTTGACAGAGCTGCACTGTAAAATCGAGAGAACTGGCAGGAGCCCAGAACCAACCCCACGTCTTGGTCTCCATGGGCGAGAACACAGGACGGGGTGGTTCCTGAGCAGAGAGGGATCTGCAGATCCAGGCTTGGTGCTCGGGGTGGTCTCATGGCCAACTCTTCATGCCCCTGCCGTTCTAGTGCACCCTCTACATGTTTTAGTTTGCTTCACCTAAAATAATGCTGATCTAGAGATAGAGAAAATAGGGGTGGATATTTTTCCAGATTGGAGAGTTGAAAGTCCCTGACTGATTTCAGCCATTTTTCCTAGTGCTGTTGGATGCAGAGACAGTGTTGAAATCCCCTAAACACAGTTCTCAGTGGCAAAACCTAGGAAGGCTCATGTTCCCAGAGAAGGGACCACATGAGCCTTCTCCCATGCAAAGCTTCCCCCAGTTTAAATAGTTCACAAGGACTATTTGTTTAATGAGTTTATTTATGTACAGTAGGTTAAGGATCCTGGGTTCTGTTTATATGAAGTTCTACCCAGTTTGTGAATTAACATTCTAGTACAGCAGCCATGCAGCCACCTTATTTCATAGCTGCCATCTGTGTGTCCTCTTGACTGCCTTCTATTTAGAGGAAGAATGAGAGCTTTATGTGCTTAACTGAGCTTATAGTAGGACTTCTTTGCATATGTATGGTACTGAAAAATCAATATCCATCTTTAATCCTTTCTAGGTTGTCCTTTAAAGAGTTTTTGACTAGTTTTTTTCTTGACAGTTCTTCTCTTTGGACACATGGGCCTTCTTAGAGGGTTCAGTCTAGGACCCGGCTCTCCCGGCCCTGTGTTGAGGGTAGCTGGTCCCTCTGTCCCTGTGTCTGCTAGCACTAGACTTTGTTGCTACACAGATTGATCCAGTGGGTACATAGGCTAATTAATGTGAGTCTTTTTCCTTGTTTAAAGGAGTCCCTCTTGCTGAAAGTACATGATTACTATTGCTGTAGTGTTAGGAAAGTATTAAGTTTGTGCTGAAAATCCATTGCCATTTGGTACAAATGCCATTTGTTCTTTCTGTGAAAGAGATGCCCTCGAGTGTGTTTGTACACAAACCCTTAGGATGGTGAGTTGAAGCATCACCCTCGCGCTATCTTCAGTGACGGGTGACAGCTCAGGGAGATGGCAGGCAGATTGGGCTCTTAAGTCATTCTTCTCTCAGTTACTCCATTGGTGAAGTGGCCCTTTCCCTCTTTGCAGTTCAGTCTGTCTCGTATCTGCTTTGCTGTCTGTGTGCTGAGGCTCGTCCTGTGTGAGTTGCTGTCTGCCTCTTGTCCGGCTGTGAGGTGCTCGTGTAGACCTGGAGCATGCAGGCTGCCTCCATGTTTGGGTACTGTGTTGCGTTTTGCTCTGTCTAAAAACATCTGCATAGTTTTCAGCTGGAAAAAGAAAAAACTTAAAAATGGGATGTCCTAAAATGAAAGCTGCTCAAAGTCACAGAACAAGCGAGGGACAAAGGAGATAGGATGACTGGGAAGTGCTGGCCCTGAATAGCCCCTGCGACTGGGGCCTGCACACAGCCCTTCCACGGTTGGCACTGTGGGTGCAGGCCAACCCTTTAAAGAACAAACGAAGTCGGCTCTGTCACTTTTTGCAAATTGGCAAAAACGGACTTCCAGGGAGTTTCATCTTTATCATCCTATGATGTTTTCCCATGTTTTTGAGCTTCCGGGGTTTAATAAAATTGGTTAAAAATTGAGTCTTTTCCTGAAGTAAGTGCTCTTTCCAGGTGAAAACTACTCTTTTGGTTTTGTTTGAAAGAAAGGGAGGGGAAACTTTGCTCTTTTAATAATTATGTTCAGCCTATGATGAAGTATTTGATTATTAGACAGCAACGTCACTAATAAGTTTTAAGTTGTCCAAAGTTAATTGTAAACATCAGTACAGTACTCTTAGTTACAGTAAAGCAATTGTCGCAAGATGAATGGCTCATATTTTGGTGCAGTGTTTGATGTTCAAAACAAAATGTTACAACAATAAACGAACATACACTGAATGCATTCGGCTCTTTTCTTCAGGGGACATTGAAACCATCTTTTTAGATTCTTGCCAGAAATTGGTAATTTCCATAAATTAGTATCTTGATCTTTGCTGACACTTTGTCTACAGGAGGAGCTCCATTTTGTTGCTTATTCTTAAAACCTGGCTCCAGAAGTACAGCTACACCCCCAGGAACTAACCTCTTGCTTTTAATGTGAGTCTTTTTCCTTGTTTAAAGGAGTCCCTCTTGCTGAAAGTACATGATTACTTTCGTCACACAGCGGTACCTTCTGCCAGGAAGTGACCCATCCTATGTGACTTGTGCTGTGGTCTGGCGGCTGTCCAGGAGGCTGTGTTTACCTCCTATCCCTAAGCCCTTGAATTCCCTGGGAGTCCTGTCCAGGGCCCCTGGACACCCCACCTTTCCTTAAACCGTTCCTCAGGGTGGATACGATTTAGCAATCAATCCTGATGTTTCCATCACAGAGTCAGAGGGAACTTTGATCAAAACCACATCTCATCTATTATTTAAATACTGACCTTTTGTCCTCTCAGATTGCTGGGCCCTTACCAGATGCAGCATGTGCTGAACCCTGCATCCCAAAGGCCCTCGACAGGAGCGTGTGTTCAGGATGGAAACGTTTTGCATTTCATGCCTCCTCGCCATGACGTGATGGCAACCATGGGTCTTTAGGAACACAAAAGAGCTCAGGGAAATTGGTTACAAAGGAAATGGTCTTTACCCAGAGCAGCTTAGAGGGCTTCAGGGGAGCAGTGGACTTTGCATCCCTGAGCTCTGAGGATGTGCCTGTGCGTGGCTTCTTTCTGTTGTGCCCTGCACCCACTGGAGTTGGCGTGTGTCCTTCCCTTTTCCTTCCCGTTTATAGGATGGTATAAGGAAAATACACATTTATGTTTGGAAAGGGGCTGTGGTGTGGATATGTGCAAAGCTGGGTTTCCAAGCTACAGGCATGAGCTTCAGTGACTCCAATCACAAATACTCCCTGTCAAGCTGCAAATACATAAATTGTGAGAAAATTAGTCATCTGGGAAAGCTAGATTAACATGCCAACCAGGAAGTAATTTCAAATGCAGTTTAAGGTTTGCATTTATTGACGATACCATTTTGTTTTTAATCATGTAAATGAGGCCATTTGTCAGTGTTACCTGGAGTTGAGGAGGGGACGTCACAGTCCTCTACTTAAGAAGTGTCCTGACCTTTTCTCAGCAACAACTTGATATCAGAAGTTGTGAACTTGGCTGGGCGTGGTGGCTCACACCTGTAATCCCAGCACTTTTGGGAGGCCGAAGTGGACAGATTGCCTGAGCTCGCAACCAGCCTGGGCAACACAGTGAAACCCGTCTCTGCTAAAATACAAAAAAATTAACCGAGCGTAGCAGCATGCACCTGTAGTCCCAACTATTCGGGAGGCTGAGGTAGGAGAATTGCTTGAACCCAGGAGGCAGAGGTTGCACTGAGCCGAGATCACACCACTGCACTCCAGCCTGGGCAACAGAGTGAGACCCCATCTCAAAAGAAAAAAAAAAAAAGTAGTGAGCTTGTTCCCGATGATGTCTGAGGGTTTGGTATGCCTCTGGCTCCCAGGCATGCTACTTCAGGGGTGATGACTTGAAGGGCTGCTCTGAACCCCACAGCCTTAAGCTCAGCTGACCTTGTTCTGCTGCCTGTACAAAAAGACAGCCTTTCCCTTTCTAAAGATGTCTCCTAAGTGGGCCAGGATCCAGCTGTCATCCTGCTTTATCTCAAAGTAGAGGCAGGCTCCAGCCACGATGAGGCGTATTCTGTTTTGCCTGTCTTGAATACACAGAGCTGAGATTCACCTTTGTTGGTGAGTAGAGACGCACTGACAGGAGGACTGGGTTTTACCCGATGTTCCAGACCCTTCTGCGGAGTAGGGAAAGCAGCAGGTAGTCATCACCCACCTTCTGCCTGGGCCCTGCCCCTGCAGCTCTTGAGCACGTCCCCTTGAGTGCTGAGTGCGGTCTTTTAAAAAGGAGCGTGAGGGGAGAGGGCGATGGCGCGTGCCGGCTGGGTTTTCCTGAAGACACTGCTACACTGGGGCTTTTTCCATGAGTCATTCCTAGGACAGCCAAGGATACTCTGACAGCTCCCTTGAGCCAGTTCCCCAGCTGTGGTAACGGGGTGAGATGCCATTCTGCCTCCCGCTCCTGGACAAAGAGATCCAAATTTTAAATAGTAAAACGGCAAATCTTTAGTTCTTGCTCATATCTTACCTAGCTGTGGCTGGGGGAATAAATAGGAACTCTGAAGTGTCCAGTGGCCACTCTGTGAATTCATTTGCAAACAGTTCTTAAAGCATTTTTTACAGCGTAAGATCATCTTCTGGGCCAAGGAAACTGCAGCTCTTGTTTCTACTGTCCAAACCTTTCCCCAGGGGGACTTGATTAACCAGTAGGTTTTACCAACCTGATCCACAGAGACTACCTTGAACTGAGGGTGCTGAGAGGTCTCCGTGGCCACTGGTGACAGATCAATACTCCTGGGCCTCCCCTCAGTGGAGGCGTCTCGCTGTGTGACAATGCCGTGTTCTCAGATGGGCTCAGCTGTCAGCGTGTGGCCAGCGTTAGGTTGAGCCTCCTGCTGCTTAGAAACCCGAGCGCTGGGCGAGCTGTGGCTGCTGGAGAGTGGTGCAGTGAAGCAGCAGGGATTCCGTTAGCCTGGGCAGCTGCTGTGGGGTCTGAGTGCAGCATCCCCAGAGGAGCCGCTCCAGCTGCAGATCACATGGGGCCTTGACCTGTGCACATCTGGTCCGTCTTCACAAGCCAGAAACAAAACCCAAGTGTACAGCTTGGATGCGAAGGGGTAACAGTTTTGTAGCTGAGATTAATGTTATTCAGGATTACTTTCTGTAGCCCTTTTTGAAACAAATGTCTACAGTTTGCTTTTTAGCAACAATTCCTGATCCGGAAGGCACCACACTTAACAAAAGTAACTGGAAATGGCTTTACCTCTTTATTGACACTCCCTGTCTTTGCACTTAAATTGTACATGTCATTTAAGGAGCCCGATAAGCTTTGGGAACAGTTTCTAACGTATCCCCATTTGCAGCTGGGCCAAGGCCCGGGTGAGCAGGTAAGTCCCAGGCAGCAACGGTGAACCAAGCGTGGAACAGCCCAAACTAAAGTCAGGGTGTCTGTGCGGCGGCACGGGCCGCTTCGGCACTTCAGTGTTTCAACTTCTGCGTGCAGTGTAAAGACAGACAGCCGGCCACAGTGCTGCCCTGCAGTAAAGGCCAGCCACAGTGACCAGCTCTCCCCTGCCTCCCTCCTCCCAGCCCACAGTCAGACGGAGCCTCTGTGGCAAGCTCAGACCCAGTCCAGGGCCCTGGGTCTGAGCTTGCCAGAGTGTAGATACAGGTGAAGGCCTTTCCAAGTCTTCCAGTTGTCCAGTCAGTGACAGAAAAGTCAGTGGCCACATTCACCATGTGCCTCACTCTTCACAGCCTGACTGGATGCAGTAAGGCATGGTGGCCTCAACAGCGAGGGAAGGCCTTTATGTTAGGGACAGGTGGTGGGACATATGCGGAAAACTCTAGCCCCATGCTTCCATTACATACAAAACCAAATATATTAAAGCTTTAGAGTTTTTACAACTATCTTTCCCCTGACCCCTCCCCAGCCACCTTAGAGGTGGGAAAGGAAAGGATATAAGAAAACCCCACTAAATGTGGAGTACATTTCGTCAAAGTCTGTGTGGGCCAACTTGCCCCCAGTCACCACGACGTTGACTGCATCTCCCGCCTTCAAGTGCACGATGAGGTGGAATGCCCCCGGGCCCCCACAGGTGTGCAAAGCCCCTGGGGGGCGGTGGTATTCCAGGAACTCTCTCCTGTACCCAGCGGTATGCAGCTGGGCCACGCTGGCGTTGGAGACCGACAGCACTGCTTCCACATAGGCGTCTCTCTCGGGGGTGAGGGTGGCTGTGATCAGGTAGCGCCCATCGTAAGGAGCCGTGAAGACGCCTGCGGGGAGAAAGTCACAGCCGTTGCCATGGCAGTAAGTGGCCCCCCCAGTGATTAACCTGGGCCTGGGAGACCAGCCATCTCTGTCTTCCCACGGCAGCCGGCTGCCCACCTCAGCTGCTTTTTATGCTCATCCCCTACAGCTTACCAGTGATGCAGAGGCCACCTTAGCCCATACCACTTTTTGCCATGGACCTAAGAATGCCTCTTGGAGCATTTCTCCCTTATTAGAAGCACCTAAGGGCTAAAGTCAGCCTCAGAGCTTGGCTGCTGGGCAGAATACCCATGAGGCAGGGCCAATGAAAACGAAGCTTGCCATCAACCCAGGGAGAGGCAGACACAGCACCATGTAACCCCAGGGCCGTGCCAGGCTCTTCCTGTAAGAGGCCCATTCTCCCCGCGCTGGGCAGTGGCCAGAAGTGAGCACTGATACTTAGCCCATGACCCACACATTCTGGGCCTGGGGTGGGAAAGGAAGTGGTGGCCGAAGGTGAGGAAGGTGGAAAGATCTGTACATGTCACTATTTGCTAAGCAGAAGCAGCTGTAGTAGACCCCACAGCTAGGAGAGTCAGTGCCAACACCAAATGCTGGCAGGAATGGCCATCACTCACGGGCTCCGCAGTGGACACCAGACCTTGCCACTGACCACAAGTCAAGAGTGGACATAAAACACAGGGCCCAGGAGCTAAAAAGAGTGGTACTGTGCATTTGTGGTGGCTCACGCCTGTGGGAATCCCAGCACTTTGGGAGGCCAAGGTGGGCAGATCACCTGAGGTCAGGAGTTTGAGACCAGCCTGGCCAATATGGGTAACCCATCTCTACTAAAAATACAAAAAATATTTAGACGGGCATGGTAGTGTGCACCTGTAGTCCCAACTACTCGGGAGGCTGAGGCATGAGAATCCCTTGAATCCATGTGGCAGAGGTTGCGGTGAGCCGAGATGGCACCACTGCACTCCAGCCTGGGCGACAAAGCAAGACTCTGCCTCAAACAAACAAAAAAAAAAGTGGTTCTCAGGGACCCAGGCCTTCAGTCTGCTCTGGAAGACAGAAGAGGCCCGGCTACCCAGTCCCCTTCCCAACTTTGAACAGCAAGTAACTGAGGGCTTTTCAGAGGCTTCCTAAGGCACCTGGTCCTGAGGCCAGCGCCAGCCCTGGCGTTTTAGGTGTGGCTTTCACCTTTGTTCAGAGTCACCTGTGGTGAAGCTTCGCTCAGTTCACCCAGAATTTCCTTTCTGCACGTGCTCCATGCAAGATAAGAGGGAGCTCTGGGAATGCGAAACTGTAGGTCACAGTCCCTGCCTGCAAGCACCACCCGACCTGTCCAAGCAGATGAGCCATCCCTATGGCCAAGGCAGTGCAGAGTGACCTGGGGAGGGTGACCTTGTTACAGTCAGGCAGATGGAGGCAGGGCAGGAGAGCCCCTACCCCAACCAGGAATGTCAGGCAACCATCAGATGATGGTCCCACAATTGTTAACTGTCTCTCTAAATTAATGATTGGTCGCAGCCAGCACCACAGAAAGGCAGTCGCCCAATAGACAAAACCTGAAGCTGGTAATCAGCGGCTTCCCTATAAGATCTCCGGAGTTGGGCGATGAAGCTCATGCATGCACATTAAGAGGTAAAAATGACGTTTAAATGGTGTTTAACTGCTGTGTGACCTCCTGGGAGCACTTGACTGGTATGGGAAGAACATGTCACGTGGGCACGCACACAACTCCAGGAAACCGCACACGCCCCCTCTCAGGCGCTGGCAGGCCACTGTGCATGTGGACGGCCCCCCAAGGGAAGAATCAGGAAAGGGACGCAGCCCCCCAGAAGCATGCCAATGTGTAAGACCCCAAGTCACTGGTCAGACCGCACTTGAATCTCTCGTCACCCACCCGGCCGTCTTACGAGTGTACTTTCCTGCTCTAAAACTTGCCTCAGTCTCACTCTGCCTCATGCCCCTTGGTCAGATTCTTTCTTCTGAGGCGGCAAGCATTGAGACCCATATGGATTCCCCTTCACGGACGTACTGATCCCAAAGGCCACTGCCACTCTGAGCAGAGGCCTGGAGGCCTGCGGGGCCCGGAGGAAGCTACACAGCGAGGGAAAGTCAGCAGCATTCCTCTCGCCCTGACCTGCCTTAGATGCCGAGCTTCAGCCTCATCAGCCCGGGGCACTCATCATTCATTTCTC